GGGGACATGGTGGGGATGAAGGGCATGTGGACAGGGTGAGGATGGGGGACATGGTGGGGACATGGTGGGGATGAGGAACGTGGGGATGTGATGGGGATGGGGGACGTGGTGGGGACGTGGTGGGGTTGGAGGACATGGTGAGGATGGGGGGCATGGGGACATGGTGGGGATGAGGGGCATGTGGACGTGGTGAGGATGGGGGACGTGGGGACATGGTGGGGATGGGGGACATGGTGGGAATGTGGTGGGGATGAGGGACGTGGGGATGGAGGGTGTGGTGGGGATGGGGGACATGGTGGGGACATGGCCATGCTGAGGGACATAGGGACATTGGGGATGTGGGGGGACATGGGGACTTGGAGGGACATGGTGGGGACGGGGGCACAGAGGGACGTGGGTGTCATGGGGCATGATGGAGATGGAAAGCCATGGATTGACATGAGGGACATGGTGGAGACATGGTGGGACACGGGAGGACACAGGGACCTGGTGGTTATGGGTGGACGTGGGGACACAGGATATGGCAGGGACAGGGAGGGCTTCCTCGGGGTCACACCATGGGGACGAGAGGGACCAAGCCCACCCTCACGTCCCCACCACGTGTCCCCCCCAGGCCTCGCAGACGCCGTCGACGCTGAACCCGGTGATGCCGGCGGCGGAGCGCACGGTGGCCTGGGTGTCCAACATGCCGCACCTCTCGGCCGACATCGAGAGCTCCCACATCGAGCGCGAGGAGTACAAGCTGAAGGCGTACTCCAAGTCCATGGACGAGAGCCGGCTGGACCGGGTAGGGACCACCGGCGGACCCAGGCGTCCGGGGCTGGGGGCCAGGGGTCCTGGGAACCCCGGTGTCCAGGGCCCAGGAGATGATCCTGATGGACCCAGGTCCCAGGAGATGACCCTGATGGAACAGGGGTTTCCGTTGTCCAAGCCCCAGGAGATGATCCTGATGGACCCAGGTGCCCAGGTCCCAGGAGATGACCCTGATGGCCCCAGGTGCGCAGGTCCCAAGAGATGATCCTGATGGACCCAGAGTTTCAGTTGTCCAGGCCCCAAGAGATGATCCTGATGGACCCAGAGTTTCAGTTGTCCAGGCCCCAAGAGATGATCCTGATGGACCCAGAGTTTCAGTTGTCCAGGCCCCAAGAGATGATCCTGATGGACCCAGAGTTTCAGTTGTCCAGGCCCCAAGAGATGATCCTGATGGACCCAGGTCCCAGGAGATGACCCTGATGGACCCAGGTGTCCAGGCTCCAAGAGATGACTCTGATGGACCAAGGTCCCAGGAGATGACCCTAATGGAAGCAGGGTTTCAGTTGTCCAAGCCCCAAGAGATGATCCTGATGGACCCAGGTGTCCAAACTCCAGGAGATGACCCTGATGGACCCAGGTCCCAAGAGATGATCCTGATGGACCCAGGTGTCCAGGCATCACCATGTTGGGGACCAAGGTGTTTGGGTGTCATCACAGGGAGGTCCTTGGTGTTTGGGTGTCACCGTGGTGGGGACTCAGGCATCCAAGCATCACCATGGTGGGGAACCCAGAGTACCTGGGTGTCACTATGGTGGGGTCCCAGGCGTGCAAGTGTCACCATGGTGGGGAAACCAAGTATCTGGACATCACCACGGTGGGGTCCCAGGTGTTTGGGTGTCACCATGGTGGCGACTCGGGGTCCAAGTGTCACCATGGTGGGGGTCCCAGGCGTCCAAGTATCACCATAGGTGGTCCTAGGTGTCCAGGTGTCACCACGGTGGGGTCCCAGGTGTCTGGGCATCACCATGGTGGGGTCCCAGCTATTCGGGTGTCACCATGGTGGGGTCCCAGGCATCCAAGTGTCACCGTGGTGGGGAACCCAAGTATCTGGGCATCACCATGGTGGGGTCCCAGGTGTTTGGGTGTCACCATGATGGCAACTCAGGCGTCCAAATGTCACCATGGTGGGGTCCCAGGCATCCAAGAGTCACCATGGTGGGGTCCCAGGTGTCCAAGTGTCATCATGGTGGGGAACGCAAGTATCTGGGCATCACCATGGTGCGTCCCAGGTGTTTGGGTGTCACCATGGTGGGGTCCCAGCTGTCCAAGTGTCACCATGGTGGGGTCCCAGGTGTCCAAGTGTCACCATGGTGGGGTCCCAGGTGTCCAAGTATCATCATGGTGGGGAACCCAAGTATCTGGGCATCACCGTGGTGAGGTCCCAGCTGTTCAGGTATCACCGTGGTGGGGTCCCAGGTGTTTGGGTGTCACCATGGTGGGGTCTCAGGTGTCCAAGTATCATGGTGGGGAACCCAAATATCTGGGCATCGCCATGGTGAGGTCCCAGGCGTCCAAATGTCACCATGGTGGGCTCCCAGGTGTTTAGTTGTCACCATGTTGGGTTCCCAGGTGTCCAAATATCATCATGGTGGGGTCCCAGGCATCCAAGTGTCACCATGGTGGGGCCCCTG